TATATCAACGGGACTCGTGCCAGCCTAGCATGAGAATTATGTTGAGAGATTTGTGAGAAGTCGGGATATTATTTAAGCTCATTTTAGACATTTGCAATTTTTCACTTGGTTTAAAGCACGGATACGAGGGGGGAAATCGTTCTCTAGGCACTTTAGGATATTACCACATTATTAGATTTTATACAAATATAATGTATTTATGATTTATGAAGATGAAGATAGGACCTAAACTCTTGAAAATTATTGAAACTTCTTTTGTAAGTTGATCGGCATTTGTTTATATGGTGCATTATTTTTTTTAAATCGTTCACGAACTATCGATGGACTCCCTCACAATCTTTAGCAGTTCAAGCCTTAAGGATACTAACTTGTTCGGATTTTTTCATAAATGTTAATCTTGTAATGTTTTGTATTCTATCGATATCGTCATCATTTTTGAAAAGAAATATGTCTTAGAAACCTTTTGTAAAATAAAAACCTTTTTTTTAGGTTGGCTTTCTTGTCGAAAATTCTCTTTCAGCAGTCGACACTTTGATAATTCAAGTCGATCCTCCTGTAGGGTTGGGAGAGTTGGGATACTCTGGAGACGACCAGAAGACGGTTTTGAAGAGAGAGACGAAACCCAATATTGTCGTCGACTGTCCTAGAATCAGGACAAGGATGTCTAGGGAGGTTCAGGACTATATAGTTCTAGTGGAGGACGGTTTTAATGAGGAGCTGGAGCTGGAGGACGAAGACGGGATGGATGAGGATGAGGAGGACGAGAAGAAAAAGTTTAAATTAAGAGATTTGAACGACGTGAAACAGTTTCTCCTCAAGAACTCACAGTTTCTAGTTCAGGTAGTTTCATTGGTGTCATATCAATCGAACTAATGCTCAATTGGACTAATAATCAATTGGACTAATGATTAATTGGATTAATGATCAATTGGGCTGATGATCAATTGGGCAAATGATAAATTAGACTAATGATCAATTGAACTAATGATATATTAAACTATGATCAATTGGACTAATGATAAATTGGACTAACGACCTAATGGACTATAGTCCTTTTGAACAAATATTTGTATATTAAACAATTTTTTTTTAATTACCTATATGAGGGTTTGGTTAGGTTAGAACAATATTTGTGGGCCGAGTGCTGCGGCTAGGACATGTTAGGGGGAAGATCGCTGAGGCAAGGACTTGCTAGGGGCCGGGGCTGCATCTACAGATCTCTTGAATGATGATGCCGATTTGTTGAAATATATTTTTGAATTTTTTAAAATTTGTTCACTTGAACATTGTATTTATTTTGTTTATATAAACTACTGTGATTTTTCTAACTAGTTCACTTGAACATTGTATTTTTTATTGTGTTCATATGAACTACTGAATTCAAATGGACTAAAAACCGGCTCGTGAACATCTGATTTTAGTCCTATAGCATTGTTTTATTAATTCAGGGGTTTATATGTACAATTTATATTTAACCTAATTTTCCAATTATAAAGAGAGTAAATATAATTCAACATTAATAACTCTTTATCTCTTGATTACGGGGAGGGAATAGGGATGCAAGAAACATAGGAGGAATAATACATTGCCGAGGCTTCCCAAGTCCTTGTTGGGGTGTGGAGCTCCGTGGCTTAGTGAGTAGTGTCTCTAGTTACGGTACTGAGTGCGGGGGTTCAAAACCTCATTCACAGATTGCAACTAACATTGCAAAAATACAGATATCTGTGCAATATTGCAATCTAGCTATGAACATCACATCTTGCTTGCTCCCAGCATTCCGACCGATTGTATTAAATTTCAGTCGTTGTCGGAGGTCATTATGTTGAATGACAAAACATTTAGCAGGTGTAAAACCATGTGCTAGTAGGTCGGATGTGTAGTATAGCGGATTTAGCGTAGGTCAGAAGTGGAGTATAACGGATTTGCGTAGGTCGGATGTGTAGTATAGCGGATTTAGCGTAGGTCAGAAGTGAAGTATAACGGATTTGCGTAGGTCGAAGTGTAGTATAGCGGATTTAGCGTAGGTCAGAAGTGGAGTATAGCGGATTTGCGTGGTTCAATGGCTACAACAACAACCTTGTTGGGTCGTAAAGCATCATGAGCGTAGTCTATCTATCTATCTATCTGTCTGTCTATCAATCAATCCATCTATCCATCTGTTTGTCTATCTAGATAGATTGATTGATTGTCAGGCAGATATCTGAAACTATCTATTTATCTATCAGTATATCTATCTATCTAGGTTCTCCAAAGTGAAAGTATGGGTGAGTTTATTAAAGTGTCTCCTTGTCTCCCTAACCCAGTCCTAGTGGATGAACCAGTAGTTAAACTTAATATATACTCATTAGACTCCAGGTAAATTTATTAAATATACTTATGTTGGAAGTATATGTTTATTTTTATGTTGTCTGCTATAAATATTTGCGGGTGGAGTTAGAAATGTTCCAACTCAAAAGAGAAAATCCGCGAAACCATTCCAATCTGATTCAAATGGATGAACCATCAAGTGATTTTATCCTTCATAATTCTTGGGATAGCACTCCTGAGAACGACGATCTTTTCGTTTCTATCATTCAAGAATTCAATAAAACCCTGGAAGCAAATGGTGAATTAGGAAAAATTCTAAGGACAAAAATATATTTATGTCTTGAATTAAAGATATTCTTGTAGATTTTAGCATGTTGCACAACAATTTATTAAATTTGAAACATATATTTATAGCGGAGAACAAAACCAATATATATACTATGTATGTCCGTTTGTATCCACTAAACGTCAAAACGGCTGAACCGAGCAGGCCCAATTTTTTTGTGACCTCATGACCCTAGGGAAGGTTTGTGGATGCACGTATATTTTAAACAATTTTGTATTAAATGACTGTAAAAGAAGCTTAAAGATCCGAACTTATTTATAATTTTCTTATATCTGGGAGTGTCTGGCTCATTTTTGTTCATCAAGAGCGCAAATTCAATCTTTAAAATCCCCATAGATTAATCATTTTTAAAAATTATTGAATAACGACGACGAGAAATGTAACAAAAATTCTATTGTAAACTGATTAGATGTTTAGGAACATATTTCTCAATAGAAATTTGTCAATAAATCAATGTTAAAATCAACTGTTTCTTAATAATCATTATATTGAATTTCTTATTTTTTATACTAATTTCTTCGCAGATTTCTTCAAATTCTTCCAATATCGTCTTTTCAATAAAAGTGCTATGAAATCTACTAAAAATGTTCGTGAACAACGAGACATTACAGAAACCAATAACTAAGTAAGATTACTTATTTTCGATCATACGAGTAAATTTTTATTTTCTCATCCTGTTCCTCAATAACATCTTATAAGTTTACTGCAGAGTTAGTGTTACATTTTCACCTACATATGAATTTTTGTAGACTTTACTGCGAAGTGTATTCTTTTTCTAGGAGATGTTTAAGGTAAAGAACAGTAACACACGCCACAAATTCTAATTTATAATTCCTATATTTTTGCAACCAATTTCTCTGATATTTCAAACTATGATATCTGCAAGACTCAATAAACCTAAGTTATCTAACCACATATATTTATCTTGTGCATCATTTTACCCATCTATCTATCTATCTATCTATCTATCTATCTATCTATATATTTATATTATGTAGAAGGGTGAGACTGGTCAGAACTGAAACATTGAACTCTTGTTTAGAAGATTTACTTCAACGATATCAATACTGTCAGGGAACCCCTAGGTATTATTATAAACCCAAAACTCTCCTTTATGGCGTTTTTTTCAATATTTTTTGGAATTCTTTTATTTTTTTTGTACTCCTATGGCCCCCCAAAAAATCCGCGAACTTTTTTTTCCTCTCAAAATTAAAAGTTCAGAAAAGCAAAAATGTATTATTTCTATCAAATTCAATAATTTTATAAAGATTGAATTGAATTGAATATTGGCAAAATTGTACTAAGAAAATTCGCAATTTTCAGTTCTGGTCTAATTTTTAAGGAAAAGTTGTTTTTTAATAATTGCTCTTTAGGTTTCAAGAATTTAATAGAAATAATATATATATATACATTTTTGCTTTTCTGAACTTTTGACTTTTCTGAATCATACAGGAGATTTGCACAAAAAAATACAATTTTGCACCAGGCTCTGCTAATCACCCCTTTTTTTTGGCTTACCCTGTGTATATGTATACATGGTATCCTGAAGAATGCTTAGCATGAAACATAATGTCAATACAATAAAACTTCAAATCATGTTTTGAATACTTACTTTCCTATATATGTCATCAACTATAGCTGGACCAAATTGGCTGAATTTTTTAGGGAACCTATGGGTACCCTTGTAAATCGACCATGCTGCACTTTCTTTGCACTATTATACACAACGACCTTCTCTTTAACAGAGATCTACTTTTTTTTTAATTGCTTGGGATCATTTCCGTGATTCAACCGATTAAAATTTGATCAAGGGGTTCCTATGTTATGATACAACCAGAGATTACTACTTTATATAAATATTTTCGCTAGGTCCAATAAATGCCGGTATGTTGTTGACAAAGAAATTGATAAAGAAAACTTTGATTCCGAGATTTTCAGATGTCAGGTTAGATTGATTGATTTGGATTGATTGATTTATTGTTTAATTTTTTTTATTAATGTTGATTGCTTGTGATTGACTGATTGTTTGATTAATTGATCTTATTAACCCTATCTCCGCTGGGGTACTTGAAAACCAGGATACGCTGGGGGGGGTCAATTTGACCCCCCCCCCTCTAAATCCCATGATTTATGTCCAAATATGACAAATGATACATCATTAGAAAGCTCTTGTGCTCTACTTTTAGAATCTGCAAAAAAATTTGCAAATTTGCGAAAATTGAATTTTTTATCGCAAAATCCAGTTTTATAGTAAAAATGTTTGCAAAAAAAAATTGTCCAAAAAATGACAAATTATACATTTTTGAAAAGCCCTTGACCATGCCATTTCAAATATGCAAAAATTTTTGCAAAATTTTAAATAACCTGATTTTTAATCAAGAAAAACTAAAAATGTGCAAATTTCCTTTGACAGGTTGTTTGCAAAAAATGTGCAATTTTTTTTCCGCAAAACTTGTGCAATCCGTTTCCTTATGTCATAGGCTTTCCAAAAAGCTAAATTTTATCAAAATCTGACAAGTGAAAGTGGGTCAAAACAAAGATTTAGTTTGCTACAGGCAAAAGCAGTCATTCAGGCAGTGTGTCTGAGGACTCAGGCAGTTAGTATTAAAGCCCGGTTTTAGGCCTAAAGGGAGGGCTTTGGGTATGTAAGAAAAGTCAGAAAATTTCAACAGCCTCAGACCAATACTTTTTGAGTTATGTAAAAAAAACTACAGGGGGGGGTCAAATTGACCCCCCCCCCCAGCGGGAATAGGGTTAAAATCAAATCTAATTTATTCATAATCTTCTATATTGTTTTTAAAGAAACGCTTATTTATATAATCGTGAAATCAACTGTTAAAAAATAAATTTTTTAATTTCGGGCATTTAATTTCTAATTTTAAAAACTATGAATAATTGATAAAAAAGAATATTTTATAGATTGTGTAATTGATTGGTTGGTTGGTTGGTTTATTGATCTGTTGATTGATTGATTGAGTTGTTGATTGATTTTTTTGATTTTTTGATCTCTTAGAGTTGTCAGAAGTTAACCAATCATCTGCTGCAGAAGTATATAATCAAGGAGATAGTTAACAAGCACGTTAGAGACGAAATAAACGAACATTACAATTTGCAAGATGTTGCTTCTTTTCCAGCAGGTTCGCCATTTTTTTTTTGAGAATTAAAATTTATTATCGAAATTTTTTATTTTTAAGAGAAACTCTTAAAAAAGATTAAGGTGTCCATAATGTTTCAATGAGAAGGAAGAAACTTGGAAACATTTATTTTCAATTACTTGATTTTATTTTTACTTTTATAGTTGATAGCCTGGTGAAACTAGAAGAGTACCAGGAAAACCAGAATCAGCTGCTGCCGCTGGGGTTAGACCTTTCCGATCACCAAGTCCAAGCAGCTGATCTGAAAACAGCTGATCTAAAAACAGCTGATCTGAAAACAGCTGATCTTCAAACAGCTGATCTCCACACAGCTGATCTCCAAACAACTAATCTCCAAACAGCTGATTTGGAAACTAGAAATCCTCAAACCACAGGAGAGGAAATCTACCAACTAATCGATCAATCAATTCCCAGCAAACCCAGAGCTAAATCCAAGGCAAGATAATTACTTTTTGATTTGACAAAAACAAGAATTAGAATGCAACATTAAAGGATTTCTTTCTTATGCATGTTCTACTTTCTAATATTATACCTTTGTGAATTAGGCATGCCTCTAATTAGATAAACCGCCATTACAACCCTTTCGTATAGTTATTTTCCAGGTTTATGTTTGTAAAAGATTTAACAATGTTTCAATGTGCAATGCATAGAACGTTAAAAGGCCTGTTTTTTTTCAAATATTTGGACTAAAAGAAAATTCGATTTTGTGTATTTTGCCGTGATGGACAACAGAAAGAGTTCGGAATCTTATTCTTTAATATCTTGCTTGTCTGTATCTTGTAACAGCAGAACCGATCAGGCCCAATTGTTTGTGGCAAACTTACATGACCCGGCACAAAAAAAGTTAATGAAAAACGGAAGCTTTTGCTAAAAATTGTTAATTGTTTTTTTTCTCGAAAAATCGTTAAAAAAAAACCAGAAAAAATCGACCGAGTTTTTAGTTTTATGACGTACAAAGAAAAATGGTGGATTGAAAAGCAACATTAAAACCAAAATCAAAGCTATCAATATAAAATTGTTTTAAGTATTTTCCGGCCCAACAAAGTATACATTTTTACACTTTACAGTCAGTTTCAGTTGAATACTTGATCTTGGCCAAAATGTAATTCCCTTAAGAAGTTAAATAAAATGTTTAATTTTAAAATCCAACTGCCATTTGTTCAAGCATTTTATCTTCAGGAACGGAAAGAAAAAGTGGGAAATACTAGAACCCGCAAATCTATTTCAGGTAAGATAGATCAGATAGATTAAGATCATTATATAGATTTGATCAAAAAATTGAATTTATGATTCAATATTGTTAGAAGTTAGTTTAGAGCAAAGAAAGAATTTAAAAGTTAACCCTGAACATGGAAAAGCAAAGTTTAGAATAGTTTGTGAATCATATATTATTGTTGATGATTTGTGAAAAAGACATATCATGAAGTGAAAAATCATCCAAACTGAAACCGCTGACCTAGGTGTCCAACATAAAGATGGCGCCAAAAACCAAGACGGCGGAAAACCCGCGAAAAAAAGAAACGAATATAATTGTGATGACTGTGGGATGCAGTTTAATACACTAGGAGCTTTCAGAATACACTCAACTATTCACAGGTTCTTTAATATGCATTTTGGTTTTAAGCAAACATTTTATAAAACTTTTTTTTCATTTCTAAATGTAAAATTTAAATTTAGCGGAGTTAAAGACTGGCTGTGCACTGACTGTGGCAAAAGGCAAGATTTCAGATTCTGTAAATGATCAGTCGACATTTTTTCATTACCCTCTACTTTAAGAGGGCCATGCCCGATTCACAACGCCCTGAAAACCATTATCTGATCAATAATGTGGAAGATACTGTCTCTATTCTTGCTTAAAAGTGTTGTATTCTGACAACTTTCTTTTAGAGGAAACCCACAGTTGAAATTAATCACTTTAAAAGTGAAAAAATATGTAAATCTCATTCCTTCTTGATTTGTCTAAACTTCTATAAGGATACCGTTGTGATTTGGAATTAATAAAGGGTAAATTGAAATTGAATTCTATTGAAAATAATCCTGAATCTGCTCAGTTATCATTCCCAATCTTCTCTCATTGATCACCGGAAGCGGATTCACTTAGGTAAATTTTGAATTTATGAAATTTTTCCATTTATTTCCATTATTCATGATTTTGGGGATTCACCCAATTAAAGATAAGAATTAAATCAGTTCAAAAGTTGCCAGCTCTGTTCCACTCTTATTTAGAAATTTTTCTTACTTTTAGTTTTATTTTAAATGAGATTATTTTGGTTAAGAAATGATCAAGGTTAAATCCATTTTTTTAAAAATTGGGTGTCACCATATTCAGTAGAATTTCTAAAAATAAATTGTTAAGTTTGCTTAATACTTAGGTCAGCTGAATTATCCTTGTGAAGTGTGTGACAAACCCTTTTACTCTATCAGTGAACGCACAACACACATGAGGAAACAACCCTTATAATAATATTCATAAAGATTAAACCAAGATGAAGGTTGTTTAGATTAAGCTCACTTATACATTACTAGCCTTAGAGGACGCTTCGCGCCCATCTTCTAAATTAATTGTGAACATGTTCTCTTTGTGTACATCGTAAAACAAAACAAAAATAATTCGCGGATTTTCACAAAAAATTTCGCGGATTTTCAAAATTTTCAAAAATTTAATGACGATCGAATTTTGATGGAGACAAATATTTAAAATTTCAATCATTCATAAACCTTCCCTGGGGTCCCTAGATGTCCCACAACAAATTTGGGCCCGATCGGTTCAGCCGTTTTGACGTTTATTGGATACAAACAGACAGACAAACAGACAAGCCAAATTTATATATAGATTTCACCCCACATCTGGATCCGGATCCTAAACAAAGTGCTTACTTTGAACTCTGCAGATGGATTTAAAGTACCACACCGATATTTGGGCAGCTATAGCAAGTTTAAAGTCTACAACAGACTTTAACGGGCCATTAAATGAAATATTCTCCTCTAGTGAGGTTAAGAAAAGAGATTTAATGATTCGAAACAAAGATTTATACTGGTTGGTCTAATAGGTGTCACACAGGCGACAAACCTTTCAAATGTGATATCTGTGACAGATTGTTCAGAAGAGTTTATCATTTAAACAGACACATGAAGCGTGTACACCAGGAACACAGACAATATTTTCAAAAAAATTGATAATTTTCCCCCTAAAATCATTTAATTTCCCGGATTCAGCGTGTTCATAATGATAAAAAATTGTTTTTATTTGTTTTTAAGGGTTTTTAAGCTTTAATAAAAATCTATATTCTGTAAAAGTGTGTTCATATTTGTTTAAATTATTTACTTTTGTTTGTGTTGATCTGCTAATATTAAATATCTGTGTATATAGACTGAAAAGAATGAAATATCTGTGTATATATTAAATATCTGTGTATATAGACTGCTAATATTAAACATCTGTGTATATAGACTGCTAATATTAAATATCTGTGTATATAGACTGCTAATATTAAATATCTGTGTATATAGACTGCTAATATTAAATATCTGTGTATATAGACTGCTAATGATAGACAGGCCTCCTTTTTTCTTTTCCGTTTTTTGAGCTAATCTCCAAAAATGTTCATTTTTAATATCAGTCCGATTTCTTAATAACTTGGTTTTATTAAATTTTAACTCAAGGCTTCGTTTGCTTACCTCTTCTAATTCTGCTTGGTTTTCCTTTGCCGCAACATTTAACTCATTTTGGTCCTGAATTGTCCATTCCTCATTTGCCAATGCGCGCCTAACTTTTTCCAGTGAAAGCCTTTTTTCTTTTCTTTCCATTTCTTTTCTTTTGGCTTTCAACCGTTTCTAAACGTACCCCTTGGCTTACTGTGTATATAGACTGAAAAGAATGAAATATCTGTGTATATAGACTGCTAATATTAAATATCTGTGTATAGACTGAAAAGAATGAAATATCTGTGTATATAGACTGCTAATATTAAATATCTGTGTATATAGACTGCTAATATTAAATATCTGTGTATATAGACTGAAAAGAATGAAATATCTAAATCTCAAAACAAAAAGAAGAAAAACACAGGAATGCTAATATAACAACAAAATTTTAGTCAAAAAAATAGAAAAGTGTATAAATTAGGTATAAATTAATAAAAACATTTTAATAGTTTAATAAATCAAATTCAATAAATTAAAGTTTCTAAAGAATTATATATTTTTATTAAAAATGAATTAGAAATAAACATCAAATTTATGATTTAAAGAAATGTATTATTCATTAAAAGATTTAATAAATAAATAATTCAGAAACAGATTTAGTGGATGAATAAAGGATTGAACCAACAAATGAAAAATTACGAAATATACAAAATAATGAATAAAATAGAAATATTTAAATATATATTTTAATATTTTCAAAGAACTTCAATGATTCAATGATTAAATAAAACTTGAATGAATGATTTTTTGAATAAGTTGTTAAATTTTGGATTCACAGATGTAATTGATGAAAGCAAGGGAGAGAATGAGATCAAACTGCTCAAATTAATCAAACCAGGTGTTAACTCAGTTTTAAACAATTTGTTCTAAATTGAATTAAAAAAATTATTCGATTTTTTATTATCGTAGGTGGACAAGAGGGAGATGATCTCTGGGTTGAAGTCAAGGCCGACCAATATCCTGTTTCGGCGGTCGACCGGCATCAATTGGCCGAATTTACATCCAAGCCCCTTATTGTCCAAGAAAGTCTACCGGAACCGGACATACCAAAAGTATCCTCCGCTTCCCTAAAATCAACTGTCCCTATTTCCGGTGTTAAAATCCAGGTTCCACAACTTCCGGTCGCCGCCGAATTGTCAGTGCGTGAATTTTTCCAGAATGAACAGATTGCGTTAAATCAAAGACTTTCAGCTAGAAGTTTGAAGAAAGATAAATAAGCGACTGAATAAAACGTGATTCCCAGGCGCCCAAACATTTTACCACCATAAACTAATTTTTTGTTTCTGAAATAAAATCTACACAATATTCTATTTCTTTTTTCTTTTTAATTGAATAAAACTTTGCTTTTTCATGTTAATGGGGAAAGAAGAAGGTGTAAGTTAGTGTAAGTTTAGGTAGAAAGATCCTAGTTCTAGAATCTTGATTGATAAACAAAATATATTATTTTTCATTTTTTAAGGACAAACCGTGCATTTGTGTGAATTTTGTGAAAAGCAATTTAAAGTGAAAGGTAAGAATATAATTCGATTTTATAAAATTAATTATTTATTTTGTTTAAAATAACTAGTTGTTAAGGAATGTCAGGCAATGTTTTTTGATCTGTTTCAAAAATAAAAAATACAAAAAAAAAAAATTCTTATTATTATAGCCTAGCTAGACTAGATTAAAAAAATATGTTTAATTGTAATGTTTTTCAGGTGCCTTGAAAACTCACATAAGAAGCATGCACAGTGAAATCAAGGAAGCGCTTATTCAATAAAAAATAATTGATTATATCGAAAAAAAGAAAAGTTTTTAAATGGGTCAAAAAATTTTAAATTTTTTAATTCTATTTGTATTTTTGATGTTTATTACCCTTCCTTCAAAGTATAAATTGCAAGGGGGGGGGTAATTTTTTGTTCCACACTAACTCTCTCACAATGTTATTGGGCATACCATTTTTTTTAACAAGGGGGAGACAATATTGATCAAAAAGTATAGTTGAGCCAAATCTAAACTACACGTACCTCTGCCCCTTTAGTAAAAGTAAATTTAACCTAAAGTCTGCCCGCGTCAACCTTGTTGCATCGGCTAGTCCTATTCCATTCCTATTCCATAATTAACTCAATGTCCGGGTTATACAGTACAAACTGTGACCTAGGTTGACCCGGCTCGGAATTTCAATTGTACTGCTCGTGACTATGGTATCTTATTTTTAAAGAGGGCATGCCCTTTAATAATAATTAATCATTTTAATTAATTAATAATTAATTATTTTGAAGATATCGTAATTTTCTAGCTGGATATTTGCTCATTGTATAATTTGATTAATTATTTTTGCAGCAGAAATTTGCACGATTCTTCTGTAGAAAACCCACAATTGAAAATTATCAATTTTTAACGAGAACATATTGAAATCTAAAACACAAAATGAAAATGGCGCTGTTTAGTCTTTCTTGTGTACAGAATGTGGCGCGGCTTTTAAAAATGCAAGTGCGCTCATTGATCATAGAAACAGGGTTCATCTTCAGCTAAGACCTCATATGTAAGTTGATTATATTTAATATCAGTAAAAGTTAAACTTTTAAAAAAAATTAAAATGAAATAGAAATTACCTTTGATTTGTTTTTAAAAATCTGTTTAAACAAAACTTCAGTTTGATTATTATACGAATTGCGTTTATCTTTTATTTGTTTAGGTGCAGATTCTGTACTAAACCTTATTATTCTAAGAAGGATATGATAGAACACACAAGAACTCATACAGGAGAGAAACCTTATCAGGTCTGGAGTTTGCGCGAAGCGTAAAAAAACTGATTTTAGAGGAAAATAAATGAAATTTAGGGTTAAAAGTAATTAACAGGAGAGGAAATTTCCGTAGTGCTTATGATGCGGATCTATTTAATCCGCAAGATTTTGGCTTCCGGGATGCGGATCAGGATCCAAGGGGTAAATACTGCAAAAAAAACTTTTTTTACTCCTAAACCTCAAATCTGAATTTTTGAAAAAAGAGAGATTATAAAAATTTCCTCATTTCTGAATGGATCATCAAGTTTTAGAACAAATGAGTGAAAAAAAATTAAGAAAAAAATTTTTTAAATTATTTTTTGTTAAAAAAATCAGTTAATCTTAATGATATGACCTGGATTCGGTTTTGGATCCGGATCCAGATCCATTTTTTTCCAGTGCGGATCCAGGATCCGGATCCGCATCAAAATTAAATGGATCCTAAGCACTGAAAATATATAAGGATATTTTGTACCACCCCAATGAGTATAATTTTGATTATGATATTGAAAATTTTATTTAAAATATTTCCTAGTGTACTCAATGCGGAAAATGTTTTGGACGAGCAACTCACATGAAGAGACACATTGAGAGTGTTCACAAGAACCAAACCATTTCAGGTATTAATTTTAAGGACATGGACATTTTTAAAACTTTTTTTTTTAATTATTTATTGCTAATCAAAATTAAATGCTGATAATTTATATTATCTAGAGATTGCAACTTTTGAATTGAGGGAAATATTTTGAATCTGTTTAATTGAGTTGAAACTATGCTCTCATCTCCCAATGAGAGAAGGGTTATTTTCTTAGTATCTTGTTGCGCTGTTTTAGGCTTCTTTGTTAAATCTTTTTTTGGATAACATGCCTGTTAAAGGTTACATAAAAAGAAATTAATATTTTTTAAATTTTGACAAAGTATAGGGTGTCCCAATAAACATGGGAATTGAGAAACGACTTGAAAGTCGTCTATGATTTCTGACATTTAAGGCATGGCAAAGAAAGTAAAAAACAAGGCTGTATGTCTGCCGACCTTTTCATATAGGGGTCTCTACTCTATATACTTTTCTTGTAAATTGACGAAGATATTACGTATTAAGGCTGTTTTGATTTATTAAATAAATTGAAATTTGTCCAAAATCTCAATTTCTCCGTCAATTTTGAAGATACAAACATGGTAGACCACATTTTGATAATGTCAAGACCAGGCGTTTACGATATTAGATGTTAAAGCTGGAATACTGCAATAATTGTGTTCATGAAAAATTGCCGCAGTGATCAAAGACGATATAAAAGTCATCACTGAATTCCCATGTTTATTGGGACACCCTGTATCAAGTTTGTCAGCAGAAATAAATAATTTTTGAATTTTTATTAAAAATTTTTAATTCAATCTTTGACCGCTATTTTTTTAATTATTGATTTCAAAATCGCGCTGTTTTAGAAAGATTTTTTAGTTTTATTAATTATTTTGAATAAAAGTGGAAAAAGGTTTTTTTTTTAAATTTAATTTTTATCTCTTCGTCTTTTTGTAGGATTGAATTCTGGAAGACTTGAGGGCGATGAGGTGAGATTTAATTTCAACTTTTAAAGGGACTGTAATCGTATTTTCAAGTGACCCTTTCATAAAAAGAAATAAGACTGGAATGTCCGATTCACAACGATACCCTTTAACAATTACCAAACAAAACTAACTACCATCATAATGAAACACTTACCACACAATTACCATTTGACTGATTTAAAGGCAAATACTTTAATTGTAATAAATAGGTGGATGGCTGGATGTGTTTTAATTTTTAATTTCATTTTTTAAAACATATTTGATTTGGTAAATTAACACATTTCAAGTTTATTCTATCCTATTATTACTCGTGTTAATTAACCACCACGCACTACTCTAGGAGGATAATTTTACGAGTATTTTAAAGCTAAGGCAACCTCTTATCTTTTCTTTGAAACGTAACTTGCCAGTTTCTTTATTAAAAAAAGATCTGGGAAGTAAATGTATAGTAATTTCCCGTCTACGGACCGAAGTAAATGTAAAGTAATATCCGGTCTACGGACCGGAAGTAAATGTATAGTAATATCCCGTCTACGGACCGATGATAAGAAAATCTACTAATCTAATAATGAAAAGTAGTGTTCAGCACTTGTCATAAGTTTTGTACTTTTCTCTAAAAGATAAGATTAAGACAGGGGTGTAGAACTGTAGATTAAGGCAGGGGTGTAGAACTGTAGATTAAGGCAGGGTGTGCTCATTTTTACCTATAGGAGACCAGGTAATAACTACAAACATAAGAGCGAGCATGAACTCTTTCTCTTCGGCTTACCTCTATTTGCACTGATTAAATCTTATGTATATATTTCAGGTAGGCAGTTTATATAGGACTCAACCGTGAACTGAAAACACAATAAATCAGTCCAGGGTTAATTATATGCATGACAATAATAAAATTTTAGCCTTTAAAATAAAACTTTCTCCAGGTTAACTATTAAATTATTCATATAATAAGAAAAAAAACTTACAATGTTGATTTGTCCAGAGGTTTGTAGCCTATAGTTCATTAAATTGCACCGCAGTCGGAGGGGAGCAACAATGTTTCTCGTCGGAGAAACCGGAGTAGAGGAAACAACTAAGCCAAAGTTGTGCAGGCCTGGTACGTAGAGGTATATGGGTCTCTAGAGTACCAGAAGGATATTCTGGAGCACGAGCTGAGGATCCAGAGAACAAGGATGACTCAGCTTCCGGTGATGTCGGAGGTCTAAATAAAATTAATTAGACCGAGTTCCAGAGCTCAAAGGTTGTGAGCTTTGATCCTCACCTTTTATATAGACTTCATTAGACTCAGGATGTCAAGATTAGTAGGTGGGAGTAGAAGAGAACTGAACCAACTCAGATTAGAAGAGAACGAAACCATCTCAGGAGTCAAACACTCGCAGGGGAGATATCTGCATGTTGAAGATCAGTAGAATTTCTCCACGAGTCAGCGGAGCAAGTTGAGGTTATATATCAACGGGACTCGTGCCAGCCTAGCATGAGAATTATGTTGAGAGATTTCTGAGAAGTCGGGATATTATTTAAGCTCATTTTAGACATTTGCAATTTTTCACTTGGTTTAAAGCACGGATACGAGCCCGGAACTATTTAGAGGAATCACAACAATCACAATTATCTACATATATTCTATAAACCATCCGTAGGAATAAAATTTTCCAACGTTGTGTAAAGATCATTCAACTTTAATTAGCCTTAAGTATTTATTACGGATGATTTATAGACCTGGAGAAAGAAACACAATTTCAGGTTAGAAGGAAGCAACTAAACTATTGTGTTCTGAAAGATAAAACTCATTATTTATCAAGTTTTGAGGCTAGATTTATTAAATAGGCTTTGACAAGACAATATATAGATTTTGGCTAAATATTATATATATGTGTTAAGTTATAAAACATTTTAACCATAAAACTCAGGTTCTGCATTATAAAACAAAATCAGGTTATTCTTTATAAAAATTGGCCTTTAAATAGTTATACATTAAAAATCTCAATTAATTATATAGAGTTGAACACGTGATTAAATGTAGAAAATTGTGCATGTAGAGTTCCGTGTGATTGATCGATTATTTGTAGAGAATTCCTGGTTGAACACACTGAGTAACGTCTTGTCGCTGAACACCCTGAACACACATTAGTTTATAAAGATCCTCAGATCTTACACAGGGGTGTAGAACTGTAGATTAAGGCAGGGTGTAGAACAGTGCGTAGAACTGTTGATTAAGACAGGGTGTAGAACTGTAGATTAAGGCAGGGATGTAGAACTGTAGATTAAGGCAGGGGTGTAGAACTCTAGATTAAGGCAGGGGTGTAGAACTGTAGATTAAGGTAGGGGTGTAGAACTGTAGATTAGGGCAGAGGTGTAGAACTGTAGGTTAAGGCAGGGGTGTAGAACTGTAGATTAAGACAGGGGTGTAGAACTTTAGATTAAAACAGGGGTGTAGAACTGTAGGTTAAGGCAGGGATGTAGAACTGTAGATTAAGACAGGGGTGTAGAACTGTAGATTAAGGCAGGGATGAGCCATGTTGTAAATTGGGCGTGTACCTCTATTAATGGCAAGTCACTTGAATTTACAACGACAGTCTTTTAGTAAAATCATTTCATTTTATCTTATAATTATATAATTAATTATTTAATTCTTTATTTAATTTCTTTTTAATTTCTTTTATTTAAGATTCTGGTAAGAACAGGTCTGCCGAGTAAAAAAGCTAAAAAATCCAAGGTAATCTATATATTTAGCTTGTCTATTTAATGGTCTGTATCCACGTTAAAACGGCTGAACTTTGTGTACCCATATTTTTTGTGGTATCTCACACGACCCCACGCAAGGTTCGCAGAAGGTTGAAAATGAAAATTCAGAAAATCCTTCTATTTTGAATTTTTTAAAGATTTTAAAATCAAACACTTAAAGCAGAAAAATCACATTTTTTCTTTATTTTGCAATTGTACGCTTAACCTCTTATTCATGGATACCACTTATTATGAAGAATGTAAAACAATACTTTTTTAAACAAATTTCTTTTAAAAAAGCATAGGTTAATATTGGGTATACTTTCCTCTTTTAAAAACAAGACATTCATATATTTATATATATGTTGTTCATAGCCGGCCAAACTACTGGACCGATTGAGCTGAATTTTTTTGTGGACACTCTAGGGTGGCCGGGGGGTGTAAATTTTTTTTTAAAATATATTTTTCAAAAATATTTTTCAAATTTTTTTCAGCTAGTAATAAAATATAATAGGATGATATTATTAAAGAAAGTGAATGAACATAAAAGAGGAATTGGGAATAAGTTGTTAATACCATTAAATACACAGGAGATTACTTAAATGTCGTCTTCCGGTTCTACAGTTTAATGGGTCCCGCTGTATAATGAATAATTGCAGAGTAAACCAGAGAAGGGGATTTCAATCTTGCAAGAAGTTCTTAGTTCAGATAATCAAATCCAGGTCATTCAAAAGGACCGGACAGGACAAGATAAGACATGATAGGACAGAATATACAGGACAGAACAGACTGGACAAGATAAGACATGATAGGACAGAATATACAGGACAGAACAGGCTGGACAAGATAGGACATGACAGGACAGAATATACAGGACAGAACAGACAGGACAAGATAAGACATGACAGGACAGAATATACAGGACAGAACAGACAGGACAAGATAAGACATGACAGGACAGAATATACAGGACAGAACAGACAGGACAAGATAGGACATGACATGACAGAATATACAGGACAGAACAGACAGGACAAGATAGGACATGACAGGACAGAATATACAGGACAGAACAGACTGGACAAGATAGGACATGACAGGACAGAATATACAGGACAGAACAGACAGGACAAGATAAGACATGACAGGACAGAATATACTAGACAGGACAGACAGGACAGGACAAGATAGGACATGACTTGACAGAATATACAGGACAGAACAGACAGGACAAGATAGGACATGACATGACAGGACAGAACAGACAGGACAGAACAGAACAGACAAGACAAGACAAGACAAGACAAGACAAAGTAGGACAGGAAAGGAAGGACACAAAAAAGGACACAACAAGATAGAATACAAAGAATTGACCAACAAGAAGAATGACAAAAATGTGATGACAAATAAATCGATGAAAATTTGATTTTATAATATTTTTATTATAAATTCAGGACTGTAATATAGACCCTCTGCCGAGTAGCAATGATGAAGGTAATTTGATTTATCTATTCTTGAAATTAAGTAAGGTTTCTTGATTTAAATTTTCATTTTGAAAAAAAATACAGTGAAACCCTTAATAACGAATACATCGAAAGAATTCATTAAATGTCGTATTTTTCACTTTCTGATAATGAAATGTTGCAGATATTTAGTTTTTTAATTAAATGATTGTATGGAACTCTTTAAAACTGTTCCCGCATATTCATGGCTATTTATTTATTTTCGCAAATACTGAAATTTACGTAATATAGTATAAAACTCTTTGAAAAATTGTCAAGACGACATTTGATAAATTCTTCCGATGTATTCGTTATTAAGGGTTTCACTGCATGAATTTAATTTAGTTGGAGGTTCAGCACCAAGCAGAGCTATTTATGCAAAACAGAGGTACTTTATTTATTTATTCATTTATTTATTTATTATCCATTTTATTATTTATTATTCTAGATATTTTATCTAATATTTCGCTATTTATTATTATTACTTTATATGATTTAAAATGGTCAGTGTTCAAATATTGTTTATGATTTTTTGATATCTTGATCCATTGATCCATTAATCCATTGATCCATTGATCCATTTAATCATTGATTCATTGATTCATTGATCCATTGATCCATTGATCCATTGATCCATTGATCCATTGATCCATTGATCCATTGATCCATTGGATATTGATCGATTGAAAGTTTTTTTACATAAATATTTATTGATTGAATGGATAAATGAATTGAGATGAAATTAGATAAATGTATCGACAAAATTTTAAAAAATGATGAAAAAGGATTTTCAGAATGTGATTCTGATAATTTAATAATTAATATTAGGGTTGAATATCTCCAAAGACATCAGATATTGATCAGCAGGCTGCAGGATACTATTTTACCAGAGAAACCTTCCCATGGGTAATTTATTATTCAATTATTTTAATCCATTATCAATTTTATTCCTTAATTTGTCATTTATTTAATAGAATCCATCAAACATTGAATTAAATAATTGATGAGTTTCATGTTAAAATGGAGGCCATAGATGAAAGTGAATTATAGAAAAGTGATTATAGTTTTAAAATTAATAGAGTGGAGTTTCCGATTTATATTGGTACCCTTTGAACCTTAGTCAAAGTGTCAAATTCTGACCATTTGCTTCATTGTCCCTGAAGTATAACCCCAAAGTCACTCTTGTAGAGAAACTACAATTAAAAACAATTAATATTGAGCTAGATAAACAAGCATATCTCATGCATTGTTGAGAATTGGATATGCCAGCCTAAAAACGGTGGGTTACCTAAAATTACATCTACAATAATGGAACTGAGCTGGGAACTTTAGAATGGGATACCTTTAATCCTGACTGCTTAATCTGAATATCCAATGGGGACACTTTTAATTTATTGCTTAATCCACTCTATTTTGGATACAGTACAGAAAAATCAAAAACCGGTTTTTCAAAATTAGAGAGTCCCTCTCGTTTCTGTTTATTAATCTTAAATGGCGCGCAAAATTTCAAATTTCCCGGCTTCTGATACGCGACTCTGATTGGTTGAATTTTATACACAAGATTAGGTTAGTCTAGAGATTAAGAAAAAAAGAGGATCAAGCATTGATCTCGATATCCACCATTCTAAAGTTCCCAGCTCTGTACGCGTAATTTATGCAAAGATGGTCATGCTTAATTTTCAACAGTACCCTTGAATCCCTTATCTGTTCAAAGTTTTTAAGGGTACCAAGGTGAATTGGACAATCAATTTAATATTCTGTGGAACATGATTTACAGAAATTTGTTTCAGGAGTTTGGGTGACTAAGCCTCCGGAGTTGTGGAAAAATGGAACTCACCATTTTTTTCCATTAAGCCATCAAGCCAAGATTTTTTTTAAGTGATCAGCGTTCATATTAATACAATGAAGACAACTTTTATTTAGGCTTTGATTTCTAGCAAGCTTTTTTCAAATTACAAGTTAACAATTAAACATTAAAAGAATTGACTGCTTCTCTTTGTTTATGTGTCACTGCTGTTTGAAAGCTTAGTAGTAATCAAAATTGAATTATAAAGCCGTCTTTATTGTAATAATATAAATATATATATATATAAAGTATTTTCAACTTTTTCAGTTTAAATATACATTTTAGATGTTTAAATATATATTTCTTCCAAGACAAAATGTTTCATGGGTATAACCCAATCATCAGTTGGAATAACATATATATATATTTATATATACGACGGCGACTGTAGTTTTGTTGTATTTTAGTTTTATAAATAAACATTTGTACGTCTATTTAGTACGTACTACGTATGTACTATACATACATGGCTAAGTCTATTTAGTCTATTTAGTACGTATGTACGTATATATATTGGGGTTTACAAAATAAGTGTTGTAACCCCTTTAAACAAAACAACCCTCTTATTTACAAATTCGTATAACAAATCAATTCACTATTAAATCAAATAAATGTTTTCAATTTATCAACCCAAAACATATTCTTTAAATGATTGGTTTTCATATTTAAAAACTAAGTATTAAGTATAAAGTAACATAACAAACTTTATTGCTTAAAGTTAACAAATACCGCCACAGAACTTTTCAATCCAATCTAGAAACCCAGATATCTTTATTGACATCAGAGACACCTAGCGTATAGATTCAGTAGCAGTAAGTTATATATCTGAGCCTGCTCTCTCTACAGATAGAGGACGTGTGTCGTGTAGTTCACGTACTTTTGGGGACGCAATGTTGGCTGCTAGATGTCTCATGCAAAATTCTTATCTGATAGATAGATAATTTCTCTGTACACTTGACGATCAATATAGGAGACGTCAAGTTGTCGACCAATGTAGTTTATGAAAGGAACGGCCTCTGAGGGGAGAAAGGATGACGGAAAGGAAAGCCTGAGTTTGGATAATAGAAAGTAATCATAATACTTGGCAAGACTCCAAGACTCGCAGATTTAAAAAAGAAACTATTAAAACATTTTTGAAGAAAATTCTAGTTTTATTATTAATCTTATTTTTTAGTTCCTCTTACCTGCTTATTAATATTTCAAGATGAAGGAGAGGAAGGGAGAAATCACAATTAAGATTGATAATAATAGTAAAGACTTGAAAAGAACGTATTAGTATAAAAAATCCAAGATTGAGTGGAATAACAAAGCTTGGTTGTACACAAACTATATTTACAATTATATCTGTCCAAACAAGTATTATAAGAACACCTAAAGTGATCAATTACACATGATATTCCCCTGAGGCGAAGATATTTCCATTTGACTCCTTATTCAGATACTTTGTGCTAACTGGTGATAAGAGGACCGATGATAATGCTTTCTTCCCCAGCTAGATAAATGCCGTTCGGCCTATCCTGCTTTATACTCGGGGTTCAATATCCTCTCGGACTGAGTCTGGATTGTTTGGCTTTATTCTTGGATGGCATTTTTTAGGCTTTATTTCTCCGACTGGGAGCAATGAACTGTACAATACTATAAACACATTGGAGAACCCTTGGTTGAGTTCACAATAGATGTCCTCCACCCCAAAAAAAAACCTTTTCCCCACAAAACACTTACTGGGAGTGAGGGAGTGGAAGGAAAGAGAAAGAATAAGATTCAGTCGGAGGGAATGGTAAGAAAGAGAATGGATAAGTTACGGTGGGGAGGGAGTGTAAAGAGAAAGAATAAGATACTGTGTGAGGGAGTGGTAAAAGAAAGAATAAGATAGGGTGTGAGGGAATTGAAAGAAAGAGAATGAAAAAGATACGGTGTGAAGGAGTGGAAAGAAAGAGAATGGATAAGTTACAGTGGGGAGGGAGTGTAAAGAGAAAGAATAAGATACGGTGTGAGGGAGCGGAAAGAAAGAGAATAGATTAGTGATGGTGGGAGGGAGTGGTAAAAGAAAGAATAAGATACGGTGTGAGGGAATTTAAAGAAAGAGAATGGAAAAGATATGGTGTGAGGGAGTGGAAAGAAAGAGAATGGATAAGTTACGGTGGGGAGGGAGTGTAATGAGAAAGAATAAGATACGGTGTGAGGCAATGGAAAGAAAGAGAATGGAAAAGATACGGTGTGAAGGAGTGGAAAGAAAGAGAATGGATAAGTTACGGTGGGGAGTGAGTGTAAAGAGAATGAATAAGATACGATGTGAGGCAATGGAAAGAAAGAGAAAAGTTACGGTGTGAGGGAATGGAAAGAAAGAGAATGGACAAGATACAATTGGAGGAAGTGGAAAGAAAGAGAATGGATAAGATACAATTGAAGGAAGTGGAAAGCGAAATAATAAGATACAGGGGAGGGTGGGGTAGAGAGGGGGGGAGGAGAAGGTGCTAAAGAGTGAAAGTGTTTCCACCTCTTTTTAAGGGATAATTATTAAAGTTTGCTGGAAGGGGGAAGGAGAAAGAATGATAAAGGGGGGGGGGCTAGGATTACAGATGATGGGGGGAGAAAGAGAGAGGGGGGGACT